TCTGCTCCTATGATGCTGCTTGGCCTGCTGTGTTCATCCAGCCCTGCACCTTGTTGTCTCGGATTCTCCAGCATCTGCAGTTCCTACTATCTCTGATTCAATAGCAGCCCTACGAAGCTGGCTTTGATTCTCTGCCACAGTTGGTGGGTGACGAGAGAAATGACATTTCATCTTACTTATCCCTCAACTTACTAAGCATCTTTGCAAATGATGGTTCCCAGTTCTCTTGCAGGATGTTAGCAGTTGCTGAATAATATATTTTTAATCAGTAAGGGAATCAAGAGGTTTAGAGAAAAGACAAGAAAGTGGATTTGAAGATTATCAGAACAGCCATGAACTCATCGAACAGCAGAGCAGACATAATGGACTAAATGGCCTTCATCTGCTCCTAGACCTTCTGACCTTAATATCAATAGTACAAAGGAAATAACCACAAGTATTGTGAAAAATATAGGAATTTATTTAGAAAACGTTATTTTTTTAAAAAACTAAATCCATCCATGTTACAAAATATATCAAATAAATAGCAATAAAATTATCTCCAATATAAATTAAGAATAGAAATAAATATCTTGGAATGTGTATGTCTTTTTCAACAATTTGAAAGTCACAGTATTCCCAGATCTCCGAACTCGTTATTAGAAAAGATTGACATTGGGTTTGGCTGCATTGATGTTTTACTCTCTTAAATAACTGTCATTTTATCAAAATTATAGAGCACAGAGAGACCAAAGGAAATGGACCAGATTTTCTTTTGCTGACTCACTCAGCATTGGAGTCCAAAATATGAGTGCTGAGCTCCTTTGATAAGTTAAGCTCTAAACACTAATCTTTTGGACCTCGAGCTCAGCCAAAGCCTGGTTTCAATCCTGCTATGCAACTTTTCCTCCATCTCAACTTCCCTCTGCCAAATGAACTTCTACAACAGTGGTCTCACTACCTCACTGCCAGAACTTTCAGTTCTTGGAGACAGTGGGGTCTCTCTATGATCAACCCTGACACAGGGAGTTGGGGCAGGATCATAACATCGCCAAAGCAGTGGGTGGAACACATCTCTTGCAACAATGAGGAAGTCCAGGTCGAATTGTCTTCCTGCTTCTGACCCTTCATGAGTAGAATCAAAGGTTATGCAACTCTGCAAAGGGTCAAAAGCATTTCTTTAATTTCCATTTTTGACAGTTGGCTCAGATTTCCACTAGTGCCAAAGGTCATGTTAAATTTCCTTTTCAAGTAGAAGTGGAGAATACTTAGACATATTTTCAAGTTTGAAAACTGGACAGTAAATATTTTAAAAATTTGCTTTCAGTTTCAGATAAAATGGTATGCTCTTATAGCTAAGTTTGAAGGTTTAAGTTCCACTCCAGGATGTAAGTGTGCAAGTCTAAGTTGACACTTACTCAGGGAAATCAGCATGGTCAGAATAACCTCAACTTTGAATCTGAGATTACCTTTGTTCCTTTACCTTTCTGTGGCCACAATGTTTAATCTTACCTATCAGACTGGTAGTTCTAATCACTTCCTGCATGCTCCACACTTCCCTTGCTGTACCTACACTAACCCTATGGATTGCTGGTGTTTCAAGAAGGTTCCTCACCAATGCCTTCTCAAAGGGATAGGCAACAAGTGCTGATCTTGCCAGTGATGCATATAATCCTTCAACGGGTAAAAAAAGTTCATTCGCATTCCACCCAAGCTCTCAGATCTTTTGATTTTCTCATTCCTAGCCCTGCACTTTTTTTAAAAAACACACATCCCAAGTTGTCCCTGAGACATTTCCTATTGCATAAATATTTGTTGCATCATTTTCTGTTTGTATAATTTAAAATTTGAGGAAATAAATTTTCATTTGTATAAATTATAAATTAAATACAGCATTTTTAAAACAAATACTAAGTCCCCTTTCTGATATAACTAATTTCAAAGTATATATCCTTATTTCCTTGTCACACATCAACAATAGGCTTTTACACAGAATGATGTGCACTTGCCTCATCTGACGTCAGTGCTTAAACACATTACATTCTGCCTAAAACAAAACTAAAAACACGGGAAATATTTTCCATGAACTTTTTCAGTTTTTTCAGTAAACGGCGCACAGCCACTTGTTCCAGAAAGTCGTTTGCAAAGTTCAGCTCTTGCACTTCAATTCCAGTGGGTGCTGGGGTGACATCTAGAAAGTGCATCTGTTACACAAAAAATAATTCATCTGTTACAGAATTGCAGTGCAGATCCAGGCAGCACACATCTTCATGTTTAAACAATGTGATTTTAGATTAAGCACATGTCTGATTTTAAAAATAACTTTAAAAAAAAAAACCAGAAAGTGAATCTCAAGAAACATATTTGACTCAAAATGTTAACTCTGCTTTTTCTCCACAAATGCTGCCAGATCTGCAGAGTTTCTCCAGCACTTTCTGTTTTTACTTCGGATATCCAGCATTCGCAGTGTTTTGCTTTTATTTTAGAAGTTTAAAATCTACCTTAGTGGAAGTCTATTATAATGCAAACGTTCAAAACATACTGCTTTGCAGCTGCACTGCCTTAATAAGAAAATTTACATTTTCTCTATTTTTAACTCGCAAAATTAAGTTTTGAATGAAGATTTCCCTCTTTTGGGACTCATGAGATCACTGTGCTATAAATGAATTTGTGGTATACTGAAACACTTTGTAATGGACTTCCACTGTATTTCAAGTACCATTATGCTTTAAGGAAACATGTTAGCGAATTTGCAATAGAAGATCCCACAAACAGCAATTTGATAATTATCAGATAATTTGAATTTCTCAGCATTGATTGAGGGACAAATATTGGCCAGAAAACCAGGGGATAATTCCTTGAATATTAGTTTGGGCTCAATAGATAATGCTGTCATCCAAGTCAAAAGGTAATGATTTCAAGCCCAGCTTAGAGAAGTGAACACTAAAATCTAGGTGGTCACTCCACTGCAGAACTGTAGGAGTGCTGCAATGTCAGAAATGCCATATACCAGATAGAATGTTATGCCGTGGCTCAACCAGCCCTCTCAGGTAAAAGATTCCCTGGTAGCATTTTGAGTGGAGCAAGGGAGTTATCCTTAGTGTACTAGTAATTATTTTTGCCCCCTATTAATGACATAAATTTTGGTGAATGGAAACACTAGATATGGAGGGAGAAATAAACCAGGTGGTGCTTTGAACCTGCTTTGCTGTTCAATTCAGTCATAGCTCCATTCACTCCCCATATCCGAGGAAAGACAAATAATTTTTCTATCTCAGCCTTAAATTTATTAATGGCAGGGAAACTTCAATCAACATTAGAACAGAAATCATGTTAAGATATATGACTTTGTACCAGTGACTCATTCACTTTGGATGCAGAGTAACCTGCTCTCTTTTTCCAATATTGGGCATTATATAAAAAAAACAAAAACAATGAAATGTAATAGTCACAAGAGTACAGCAACTTTACTACAAGTCACTTGACATGCAAAGCGTTACCGGTTTGAATCACCTGATGAGGAAACATGGGTGTTGTTGGTCAGTTTCCTGTTGAACTTTACAAGATACTTCTGAGTATTTTTCAATGATTATGTCAAGTAGGATATGCAATAGTGTATGTGTAGGTGGTAACATATCCCCAGCTTCTGAGAATGCCAGCAAACTACAATAAGCTTTTTTTCTTGGTGTTCATGACAGAGTTCCAACCTGTCACTACAGGTTGCAAAATATGAGATTTCTGGTTTGAACAATGTTGTATGTAATGGCTTGTATAACACCTGGAATAAGATAGGAGTCCTGAAATATGTTTCATCCAAAGGATGGAAATAAAAGGGTGCACAAAAGAGAAGATACACTCACCAGTTCCTCAATGTTCAGTCTGAGATTGTTGAGATCCAGGCGCAAATCTTCGACTTTCTGCAGCATTTTCCCCAAATGGTTCCTCTCAATGTGTGCTGTTAAGTAGCTGTGGTACTGTTGCAGCACTGTAGTCAAGTTAAACAGGCACATTTCCTGGGGGAAAAGGATAGCAAGCAGTCATTAATTTTGCATAGAAATGTTTTAGAACTCTCATGTATCACCTTAATGTACTGGGCTCCGAATCCTGCTGTGTTACTTTATAACCAACTTTACAGAAAACTGCCTTTCATCTTCTAATGGCAGTCTAATTATATTTTAATTTAGAAATTCTCTCAATACTGTACAGGTTCTATTATAAAACTAATGTAGAACCACTGATGGGTATAATAGAACTGGAGTTCTGTTCTTGTGCAAGTGGAGTAATAATCACAAAGTATTACAGCACAGAAAGAGGCCCTTCAGCCCATTATGTCCATGCTGTAATCAATGGTGGTTGAGGAATTTAACTTCAATTACATATGCCTAAAATAAAATCTGGGATCAATAATAGTGCCCACATAAACGCATCTGGTTCACCACTCTCAGAATACAGGGAGGTAGCAAGTCAGGCTTAAGCTATACAAAGCCCTGGTTAGACTAGACTTTGGAGTACAATGGGCCCCCCACTGGCCTCAAGAGGATGCACAGCCTGGATTTATCAGAATGGTACCTGGCGTAGAGAAATTAAACTAACTAGGATTGTATTTGCTGAAATTTAGAAGGACAGGTTTGTTCAGAGTTTTTTTAAGATAGCAAAGGGAATAGTTTAGATAGATTTGTACGGGTTGAGGAGTTGAGGAACCATAGTCTAAACTTAAAGCCAGATATTTCAGGAGTAAAATGAAGAATACTTTGACACAAAAAGGTTGGTAGAAGTTTGAAGTGCTCTCTGAAAATAGCAATTGATTGATCAATTATTAAACTATTAAAAAACTGAGATGCATGGATTTTTGTTAATTAAAAATATTGAGGGATCAGGAGCAAAAACAGGTATATTAAGTTACCAGCTGTGGTCTCATTGAGTGGTCGGCCAGGCTCAAGAAGGTGAAATGCCCACCTCGCTTCTGACATTCAGTGAAGGAAATCTGCCATCCTTACCCAATCGGGCCTACACATGACATCTGACCACAGCAACAATGAATGGCTTGACAAGCTACTCAGGTGCATTTGAGAAAGTGGCTCACCACCAGCTTCTCAAGAGCAATTGTCAATGGGCAATAAATTCTCTTTCCAGTGACGCCCACATCCAGAAAGAATGAATTTTAAAAAATAATTTAGCACATTATGTCCATGCTAGCTCTTTGCTAGAGAAATCTGTATTATTTCAAATAAAATGAACACACTGAGTCATGAAGACACAGAGTCTATAAGGTAAATGATCAGCATTTTAGATTTTTCACTTGCAGTGATAAAACAGTGAACAAAAATATGAGCACATCCAGCAGTATTTTGTCGCTACAACTGCTGAATTTCCTTTTATATTGTTCATCCTGTCTTGGAATTTACCTTTTTGCATTAGAAATATATATAGCTCAGCCGTTCAAAAAGTTACATTGCACCATTTGTACACCAAAACTTTTAAATTTGAGTGGGTTCAACCATGTGAACACAACTCTGATAATATGTATCCATCCAATTTATTGGTGTTTAACATGGATAACTTGACCTGTCCAACCCTAAAAATATAACATTCAAATACTACTCACCAAATGGAATCCAGTCTGGGTACATCTGTTGAGGTGAACTGACATTAGGTGTTGGGATTCTGCCAACAAGCCCAGTTGATCTTCATACAAATATGGATACTCCAATCTCTGTCACAAGACAGAAAAGCCAAGTTAGCTGCAAAAATTGACTGCTATTTCTTCCACATTAGGCAAAACTATTTCTTCATTGGTTTTGCAGCCAACAAATTTCTGCTCGAGTGTTTCTCTAATTGGGTCCTTCTTTTTAATATACAGACGGGTTGCTAGCCTGACTTATAGCCGGGGGAACCAGGTGGATATGACTGGGGAGGGGAAAGTGTGTTGTCTCCCTACAATATTGCATTGCAGCCTAGTATTTTGTGACCAGAGCTTTCCTCTCCACTCACCAGAACTGCCTGGAGTAGGACGCACTGCCTACAAAGCATCAGTTAAGCTAAATTCTTGGTACCAAAGTTTCATAGAATCCCTACAATGTGGAAACAGACCTTTCAGTCCAACAAGTCAACACTGACCCTCAGAGTTTCGCCCTATAACCCACCTAATTTACACATCCCTAAACACTATAGGCAATTTAGCATAGCCAATTCACCTACCCTGCACATCTTTGGACTGTGGGAGGAAACCAGGGCAAACCCCACACAGACACAGGGAGAATGTGAAAACTCCACACAGACCGTCACCCAAGGGTGGAATTGAACCCAGGTCCCTAGCCGTGTCAGGCAGCAGCACTAACCACTGAGCTACAATGACACCTCAGTTTTGCCTATTCACATCTTAAGCTCCAGCTTCTGTAATCATTTGTGATTTGGATCCACAGGGTTATGTAATTGACAGCATGGTTTCTGCTCCATCAGAGTTTATAATATTACACTACAATATTACATTATTATTACACTAATATAACACTATTACCATGAGTTTTTATTGTTCTGTAGATAAATGCAACATATGGGTGAAACTGACATACAGAGACCACAATGGTCTTGGTTTCTCTCAGTGATCTGTAAACAAAGTCTCTGAGCAGAAGTGGGATGATACAACTGCCCCCAGTTTCCTAAGATGCAAGGAGAGGGAAATCACCCTGCGTTACTTTGCCAACCGCTGCCCATTATTGTGTGTCACCACTGACTGCTACCAGCATCAGCTGGGCTGTGATGCTTCAAGAAGTTGGACACTGTCCAAGCCTGCACTGTAATGGCCATGTGGATGTACAATTGGCAGGGCCAGGGACAGAAATCAAGGATCTAGCTGCTGCTCCTTGCCTGGGCACCGAGCCTTGCTCCCAACTCAAACAGTACTAGACTCTCTAGTTATTGGATCCTGATGTACCACCCTGTCCTGTGCCCCACTGGTCGGTTGCCAGCACTCATGATCCATGCTCCTATGCGTGGTTTGCCTCAAGATGATTCCTGGAAACCTTGAGCCATTATTATTACAGTACTTACTACAGAGAAGGTGCAATGTTTGTACAAACCGTGCAAGAGGGATTCTTAGGACACTGCTGTGAAGGTGCCTGTGTGTGAAGGGGATCTTGACACTGAAAATGGAGGACATTATATTCCAATACTCCCAGTTACTTTAGTGTAGGTAGAGTTCAGCAAACAGCAGAATTAATACCATAAGAGTCAGGAACTGGAATAGGCCATTAGGTCCCTCAACCCTGCTCTGCCATGTCGACTTTCCTGCCTTTTCCCTGTAACCCTTGATTCCCCTATAATCAAGAATCCATCTATCTCAGCCTCAGGTATACACAAGAACTCTGCCCCAACAGCTTTCTGTGATAAAGAGTTCAAAGATTCACAATCCTCTGAGAGAAGAAATTCCTTCTCATATCGGTCTTAAATTGGTGCTCCTTTATTCTGAGAGTATGCCCTCTGACCCTAGACTCTCCCATGGGGAGAAACATCAGCATTTAATCTGTCAAGTCTCTTAAGGATCTTATATGTCTCAATGAATCACCTCAGTTGACTTTTATCAAATTCACTCTCTTTTCTTAAAACACAACCTACGGGTTACTCATACATTCTCACTAGCTCTTTGGCTGAAAACTTGAAACATTTTCCAAGCAGGCAGTGTTGTGTGAGTGCCTTGGGGAGGCAGTGGCCAGGTGATATTATTGCAGGACTAGCAGATGGTGGAATTTGAATTCAATAAAAAAAATCTGTGAATAATAATCTAATGATGACCATGAATCCATTGTCAATTGGTGGAAAAACCCATCTAATGTCCTTTATGGAGGGTAACTGCTGTCCTTGCCTGGTCTGGCCTACAAGTGACTCCAGACCGACAGCAATATGGCTGACAACTCTCTGGGCAATGAGGGATGGACAATAAACACTGGCCTGGCCTGCAACGCTCTCATTCAGCGAATGAATAAATTAAAAACTGGGCCATAAATGTACCAAAAAGACAAGGACATGAAAATTTCCTTTATCTCCTCACCATCCACTCAAAATCAAGATTCCTTATTACACTGTTTGCTGAATCCTCCCTAATTGGTAAAACTGGGGAATATTGCCAAAATCCCCTTCACGTTGTAAAACGACTGCAGAGGACCTATGACCTACTGCACCTGACTGTATATCTGCTTCACTTTCATTCAATATTACTGCAGCAGCAGCAACGAGATTCACAGAACCCTTCATCACTGGGGTGTTACTCCACAGGGGGTCTTTTATTTAGTTGGGGGTGGAGGGTAACAGTTTAACCGCGAGGATTCTCACTGATGCTGCCCTTAGCGACCCACTTCCTATCAGCTACTGCTAGGTAACCCAAGCAGCTGGAACCCGAGGGATTACAAACTAAAGTGGAAAATGCTGGAGAAACTCAGCAGGGTCTGAAAGCATCTGTGGAGAGTTAACAAAGTTACCGTTTCTGGTTCAGTAACCTTCCTTCAGAGCCTCTTTGCTCTTCTTGCTGTCAGCAGCTTTCAGCATCTTTTACAATAAAGCTGAACTGAGATCAACTAATGCAAAGCCAACCGACACCAAATTAAATCTTGGTTATTCTATGGCTGTGAAGTAAACTCACTCCAAACGGATCACGAGTCTCTGTCTGCAGCAACTTTGGCCAGATTATAGTTCAAACGAAACTGAATCGAGAATCGTTGCTCTGATGAATCTCAAGTCTAGTATTTTGGAGCAGTTTTGACTCAACGCTAATCATTTGAAGTTCAGCTCCGAAACACGCTGTAAGTTAGGGAGCGCTGTCCGGGATGGGGGTCAGTCATGAGGGACTGCACCGTAACCAACATTCTGGATACGTCTGTCCAAATATTTACGACCCAAGTCGATACAGATCACAAGCATTTCGCAAGTTGTTCCTTTTGTTGCTTCTAATGCTGACCCCTTCCGAAAATGATTTCATCCTGGCCAAATTGTATCCCTTACCGATGTAGCTACATGTCTAACTGATACACTGTAACAAGGACTGAGAGGCTGAAAATGACGGGAACCCAAAAAGCGTGAAATCGCCGCGCTGTTGTTTTACTCACGTGGGTATCCAGCAGAGTTTGAACGTTCGTCCAGATCTGAAACACAAAGTTCTTGTTTCTCTGCAGTCCCTCTCGGAACTCCGGCGGTGTCTGGTCCCCCGAAATCTCTAACGGTGCAGCCGAGACAGTACCAGCTGTCAGCACGGAGTGCACCATCCAGAGAGCTGGGGCGTTAGGGAGGACAGAAAGACTATGGTTAGAAATCTAACGGGGCCACTTGGAGCAGACATCATTCAGCAATAAAGCCTAGCGCTGAGTCTAACCCTCTCTCTCTTTCCTGGCTGATTATCTCACTCCTTGCAAATCTCTTTCACTTCATATCTCTTCTTCTTTCTTTAACTTTACAATCCCTCTGCCACATTCCTCCAGCTTTGGCTCGAATTGGATACCTCTATTCCCGTCTCCTCTTCACGTCATCACAAGGCAGGCCAATGAGGAAGCAGGTAATATAACTTTAACGAAGTTTTCTCTATCTTTGGACTAAGTAAAGCGAATTATTAATAAACCAGCCCTTCTCTGGTCGATTTAATACTTACCAAGGACAGCATGCATGTTGAAAGGGACCTGCTGTGCTGTGGTAGGTTAACTTGTGGGAGTGGAGGAGCTTCGTCCCAATGATGATAAATACATACACCAGCACTTTATATAGAGCGTTGTCTTAGGTACATCCTGATTACTCAGCTATTTCTCAATCCCGTTCATTTCCAATTATCAGCAAATGATAGCAAATTTTAAGAAAATTAACTGGAAACGAAAGGAATGATGGAATACAAATTCAATGTAAACTCTATAAAGGACCAAAACCATAGAAGAGAAGAAAAAGCCAATTCCAAATAGGATTTTTTAAAAAAAATCATGGAATTCGCCCACATAAAATTCAGTTGGGTCATTGGAAAACAGAATGGTGAGCAAACATGAGGAAACTATAACAAAAACAGAAATTGCTGGAGAAACTCAACAGGTCTGGCAGCATCTATGGAGAGAAAGCAGGTTCTGAAGAAAGGTCACTGGACCTGACACATTAACTCTGCCCTCTCAGGTGGACATAGTACCATAAGACATAGGAGCAGAACTGGGCCATTCAGCCCATCAAGTCCACTCCCATTCACTGAGATCATGACTGATCTGAAAATTCTCAACTTCACGTTCCTGCTTTTTTCCTATAAGCCTTGATTGTCTTTCTGATTAAAAATGCCTATCTCAATCTTGAACATACTTAACAACCTCTCCTCAACAGTCCGCTTGGTGAAGAATTCTACAGATTCAGTCCCCGCTGAGAGAAGAAATTCCTCCTCATCTCAGTGTTAAATATGTGACCCCTTACTTTGAGATGATGCTGTCTGGTCCTTGACTTTCCCAAGGGGGGAAACAACCTCTCCACACCTACCCTGTCAAGCCTCCTAAGAATTTTTTAATGTTTCAGTAAGCTCACCTCTCATTCTTCTAAACTCCAATGAGTACAAGCTCTCCTCATAAGACAATCATTTTATACCCAAGATCAACCTAGTGAACCTTCTCTGCACTGCCGCCACTGTCAGTATATCATCCCTTCGACAGAAGACCAAATTGTTTACAGTATTCCAGCTGTAGTCCGATTATTGCCTTTTATAGGAGTTTTATATAATTTTAGTCAGACCTCCACTTTTTCAAACTCCACGCTCTTTGAAATAAAGACCATAAAAGGACAGAAATGATCCCATGGTGCTATTTGGAAGAAAAGCAGGAGAGGATTCCTCCAGTGTCTTGGCTGATATTGATTCCTTCGTCAACATTCATCGAGAAAAGTGCCAAACTTTCCTTTCCTCACAGCACTTAGGATAACTGAATATCCTGACATGAGGAATAAAATTGGTGTAGGAGAAATTGGAATTATTTGGATAAGCAAAGGGCAGGAAATTAAAAGAAGATTTTAAAAAGCAGAACATGACAATAAATATGCATAATAAAGGAAACATCAATGGGAAATTCAATGAGACTGCAAAAGAGTTAGTAAAGTTGATGTATCAAGATGTGTAATGTAAATAGATATGGTATCTGTTTTAAAACCATAAATAAAATATTAATTTAAAGGCAGAGATAAAGGAAGGAAAACATGTGATCAATGTTTGATGGAGATACCGACATGAATTCTTTACTTCCAGTTTAGATAAGTGTGTTAAGATCATCATCAAAAGAAGAAATGGGAATATTTATTCAGGTAGGTATTTGTAAAGGAATGAAATTTGGTATTGGAAACAGCAGGCAAAGTAGATGATTTTAACAAGGAAGGGGATAAATATTTGAATGAAAAATGAAAATTGCAAAGGATAGGTAGATAGGTCCATCAGAGAATCATCACAAATGTGATGAGTTGAATGATTTCCTGTAAGGGTTGTGCATGGAGAGCTCTTGTGGTACAACAGTAGTGTCCCTACCTCTGATGCAGTAGGCCTAGGTTCAAGTCCCATCTTCCCCTAATGTGTCACAACAAGTTGATTAAAGAGAGATTTAGGACTGGTGGTGATGCAATGTAGCCATGTTTGCTAAGCATACATACATATAGAAACCAAACCTTTTCCCCCATACATGGTATCACTCAGGGCAGCATTTTGCTGAAGAGGAGAAGGAGTGAATGGCTAGATCCTCAGGGCGCTCAGAATGTTATTGTTACAATGTAGGGAGAACCCATTTTTCATAAGATAATATTCTGAGATGGAACAACATGAAGTAATGGAGGAGGAATCATATAATTGTTGTAGCACAGAAGCAGAGACCATTCAACCTCTCACAACTGTGATGGCTCTTGACAAGACCAATTTAGCCACCCTCAATCCACTGCCCTATCCCTGTAACCCTGCAAATCTTTCCCTTCAGGCAATGATCCAATTCCCTTTTGAATGGCATTATTGAACCAGTCTCCATCACACTCTGAGACTGTGCATCCCAGATGGTAGTCACTCATTGTGTGAAAGGCTTTTTCTTGTGATATGTTTGACCTTGTCAAATACTGTGGAGAGTTTTATTAGGACATAAAAGCATTAAGCATCATAGTGAGAAATGAAGATATTAACTAAAACGCTCTGGATATATTGAGAAGCACAGAATCCAGATTGCAAGGACTTTGTCATGGACATGGAACTCTGAGGATGGGGAGATTTAAAGGTGCTGGAAGGGGAAGAGTTGTTTGGACTAGGGATAGTTGTTGGACAAGATGGGTGACTTGAAGATGGAAATTTAAAAAGGAGATAATGAGAATACTGTTAAGAGGGAGAGAGAAGATCCCTGAAGAAATGGACCAAACAACAATTACAGTTAGTATGGGGGTCATGAGGATGGGTTGGATGTTGTGGACTTGAATAGGTTGAGGATCAAGGGAACAGGACATTGATCTTGGGGAAGCTAAGTTAGGGAAAGTGTGTGGTAATTGGTTAGAAACTGCAGAGTATCAGGGCATGATTGACTGGGAGATAAGAGTAGAAGAAGAAGGAGCTGAGACTGCTCAGCATGGACTATCTAATCATTTAGTCAAAAAAAATCCATAATGTTCTTGCATTTCCTGAGATGGTGTTAAAGGTGGAAGCAGGGGAGCAATTAGGCAAATCAAATATCATGATGGACAAAGGGTCCATGGAGTTGAAAGAGTTCAAGAGTAATTTAGCAAGAGAGCTAGTGAGAGAGCTTCATTCCATGAACTGATGATGAGTTGTGGAAGATTTAATGGAAATGGGCAGAAGAAACACAGAAGTGATGAGTGATACTATCCTTGTTGGTGATTAAGCCCTGGAATGGTGATGATTTCAGACATGATGAGATTGAAAAGACGGTTATTGCTGAGAGTAGACTGTAAATGTGAAGGAAGTGATTGTGAGCAGAAAGGAGAATTGAAGGTGAAGTGTCAAGGAGAGCTTGAGCAGAGAACGAAGGCACCAGGATGAGGAGATTGTAATCAAGAGAGAATAAAGAAAGAGAGAGGACAGGAGGTTCAATCAGCATGGAGCTTTGGAAGGTGGTATCATGAAGGATTTGGAATTCCTTGCCACAGAGAGCTGTGCGGGCAGACTCCATGTGTATATTTAAGGCTGAGATAAATAGATTCTTGGATCAGGAGGGAAATCAAGAATTATAGGCAAAATGCAGGAAAGTGGACATGAGGAATGTCAGATCAGCCATGATCCAATTGAATGGCACAGCAGGCTAAAGGGGCCGAACAGCCTTCTCCTATTTCTATTTCTTATGGTCTTATGACTTGTACAGGAAGATGTAAGATGGTATATTGGCAGAGCATTAAAGGAAAGAGAACAAGATGAGAGTTATGCCAACCCTGTAGGAGTTTGAATGGGGCAAGTAACACAATTTGTCACATTAGTGAACAGGGAGGAATCAAAATATTGGGAATAGTCATCATAGAGAAGTGTAGGTAAAAGAGAGCCAAATGGGAAAATAAACTGGGCTTTAATAAATATATATGTATTCTAAAAAACAGTCAGAAGAGAAGCTGGAAGTCCACATTTTCTAATCTGTTATTTCTGATCTACAATGGATGTTTCTGTTGAAGTTGAAAAAATGAGATCATTTTAATCTCAACATTGTTTTCACCCAACAAAAACAGAAGTTGCTGGAAAACCTCAGCAGGTCTGGCAGCATCTGTGAAGAAAAAATCAGAATTAACGTTTTGGGTTCAGTGACCCTCCCTCAGAACGATCTCCCCATTGCAGATTAACAAACATCTGAGAAGTTTCTAATGAATGCTTTTGATCATTTTCCACGAAAGCTTGTTAAATGAAAAGATATAATGTTTGGAGTTGCTTGGCTTTCAATTAAACATTCCTTCCCAAT